AAAAAAAAAAAAAAAGTGACTAAAGTGACTGGGGGTGTTCCTCTGCCCGGCTCTGCCCGAGTGGGCACGGCAGGGAATTCCACGCCCTTGTTTCCCGAGCTGGGAAATCTCTGCCGTGCGCGAGGGAAAGGGGGGGAAAAACGGTTTGCTCCCAGTTTGGACTGGGAATGGTTGTTTGGTTTCCAGCCCCTCTCCTCAGTATTAGTTTCAACGGGTGCCGCGTGTTGTGCGTCCTCCGACGGGATTAGCAGCGACGGGGGGATAAATGGAAAATCAGATTTTCCTTGGAAGCGCTTTGCAAGGCAGGCTATGATTGTTTTGAGTCAGATCAATCTTTGCAAAGCGTTCGGGGGCTCTGGGGAAACATTCTTTTTTTTTTTTTTTTTTTTTTTTTTGCACGGGAACAGGCCAAAAATACCAGCATCAAATGCCATCCCCGCTCTTTGTTGCCACAACACCTTTGGGTGACAGCGGCCGCAGAAAGAAAAAAAAAATCATTAAAATGTGTTACATCTTTAGTTTTCACCCACATCGATATTTCCAGCTGGGTAGGAATTCGGGTAAATTTGGCTGGCGATTTGGGGACCCCTTTTCCTTGGGGTCGCCCCCCCGCCCCTGCGGTGCTGGTTGAATTGAGCTGTGAAGCGACGTGGAGGGGAACGAGTCGTTGTATTTTAAATGCAAATAATTCCCGGCGACGTTGGAATCAAACGAGGGAGGGGGGAAAAATTAAAGGAAAAAAAAATGAGGCGGGAAAAGAAAATGAAAAAGGCGGAGGGTGGTGATGGTGGTGGGGGGAGAAATCTCGGTAGGAGAAAAAAAAAAAAAAAGGAAAAAAAGGAGGGAAATTAAAGAGCTGGAAAATCCGCTTTCGAGGGGCACCGGGCCGGGCGGGCGAGCGGCTCCGGTGCCCGGGGAGCGGCGGGGGATGCCCGGTACGAGGCTCCGGGGCCCACGGCACGGGGGACACGGGCCGCCCCCCAGCCGGTAGAGACAGACAGACAGACGGACGGGCACCAGGTGTGGGGCTGCCCCTCCTCGAGGGTGCCCTGGATTGTCCCCGGCAGCAGAGGCCGTGTCCCGTCTTGGCCCTGGGTACCGGGTGGGTGTCCCCACTCCCCGCGTGGACAGGATCATCCGGGGGGCTCCCCACGCCCTTCCCGCTGGCGGGACCGACCCCGGCTGGCCGGGTAGGGGCTCCAGTGCCGCCCACCCCCCACCCCCGCCGCCGGCCTCGCCGGGAAAGTTGCTCCAAGTTGGAGCGATGGCTGCGGCTCCTCCTGACGCCTCTTCTCTCTCTTTCCCTCCCCAGGTGGGCTCGGCCGAGAAGCGTCGCGGAGACCGGACAGGCGGGCGAGGCGGAGGTAACCGCGGCTCTCCCCCTCCTCTTTCCCAGAGGCAGCCCCGGGATGCGGCCGGTTCTCCCGGAGGGATGCGGGGCAGGTGCGGGACCCGCAGCTGGCGCGTTACCGGTAACGGTGTGGGAAGTTGCCGGGCTGGGCGGGGAGCGGCACCCGCAGCATCCCCCGGTGCCACGCGACAGGGGGAACCGGGGCCGGCCGGGCTGCCCGGGCTCCGCTGCTCCGGTGGGGCTCGGGGCCCCCGTGCCGAGCCCTCCGCGCTGCCTCCCGCCGAGGCGGCCGCCGGTTCCTGCGGCGAGCGCCGCGCTCGCACCGGAGCCCAACATGGCTGCTGTAGTGAAGGTATTTGATTCACACGGGGGTGTAGGCGAGGGGAGAAGGGGGGCACCAGAGGCGCCGGGGCCGGTCCAGCTCCCGCAGCCGCCGGGGCGGCGGGTACAGGCGAGTGAAGGTTCGGTAAGTGCCGGGAGGAGCGGGGCCGGGCGGGCCCCGTGGAGCCCCCGGCCGCGGACACGCGAGAGGCGGCCGCCTCCCCCGCCTTGGCGATGCCAAGCTTCTCCCGCGCCCCTCGGGGACAGGCAGACGTGGGCAGCGGGCACGGGCGGGGACGAACCGGGCGGTGCGGCCCTCCTGGGCCCCGAGCGGGGGTTACCGGGCCCGTGGGCGGCGGGGATGCTGCCACCGGTCCCCCCCGGTGCCCGGAGCGGCCCCTCCTCGAGCCGGGCCCGGACCGAAGGCGGCTGGCGGGGCAGCCACGAAGCTCCACCGGTCCCGTTCGTTCCCTCGGCGGAGCTCCGGGGCCGCGGTCGTTGTTGGGGTTTTTACCCTCTGGGGGAAGGAGCGCGGCCGTGCCAGGCCGGGAAGGAGCCTCGGGCAGCAGAACCCACCGGGACGGCGGAGCGGGGCCGGGCCCGGAGGTGCCCCGGGCGGTGTGGACGGCGGCGGGGCCGAGCCTGCTGGGGCCGCGGCCGCCCGGGGCTGGCTAGGCAGTCATTTCGGAGCCCGGTTTCGGAGGTAACGGCACCGACTCGGCCCACGCGTGGTGCAGACCCCCGGGGAGGATGACGGGCAGCAGCTACCGGGAGCGTGCGGGCGGGTGATCCTTTAATATTGGCAACCGGTTGCCGCGCTGGCACCATCTTCCCGCTCGCAGCGGCTCGGCCGTGCCGCGGTGCACCGGGGCGGCGGGAACCGCGGGGGTGATAACGATAATAATTATTGGCAATAACAATTATAATTAATTAGTGGTGGCTTGGTGAGGGAAGGACGGAGAAGCCACGACCCCGCACGGCCCCGGGGCGCGGCGTGGAGGCGGTTCAGCACCACGGAGAGCGGCGGGGCCGGTGCCCGGTCCCCGGTGCCCGGTTGCCGGCGGGAGGATGCTCCGCTCCCGCCACGCGCGATGCTGCGGCCGCCGATCGCGGGTGGGGGGCTCCTGCCAAAGGCTCCCCGGCCCTGGGGATCCCCGGTGCGGGGCAGAAAGCCCCGCTGCTCCCGGGGAGCCCCCGGTGCTTGCGGGTTGGCATCTCCGCAGGCACCGCCGTGAATCGCGCCTTCAAATGCAGATATTTTATATATTATATATGTTCTCGATATATAGGTGGGTATATATACATAAAAGGGAGGGTGTTTGCAGCGGGCGCCGGGACGGATCTGTGCCTCCTACCCAAAACCCGGAGCGCCGCGAGCTGGAGCCGGGCCCCGCCGCCCACCCCGACCCTCTGTTCCCGGTGCCCGCTGCAAGAGGAGCCCTCCTGGGGCTGCCCACGACCGGGGCACAGGCCAGCGCTGTGCCCGGGGCTGCCCGGGGCCGGTGCTATGCTCGGGCCTCCCGTTGGTTTCGTTTTCTGCCGTTTCACCGGAGCGAGGTGAGACGAGGCGGCCCCGGGAGGGCTGCGGAACCCGCCCGGCCGGGGCCAAGCTGAGGGGCCGGGGGTTTGGGGAGGTTGGGGAGAGCCAGAGAACAGAGCCCGTGGGGGTCCTGCGAGGGTGAGGTTCTCACAGGTGCCTGTGCGGGACCGTGCGGGCATCAGGTGAACGCTCCCAGGTGTGTCCTGGGGGCTGAGCGGGGCACCTCTGGGTGCTCCCGGGTGTGCGCACCGGTGCCCGAGCCCCCCTGGGTGCTGTGTGCCCGCGGGGGTCGCGGTTGTGCACTCCAGGGTGCTCCCGGGGTGCCAGGGAAAGGCCTCTGCCCCCCGCCCGTGGCCGGGAGAGCGGAGCGGAGCCCCCGCACCGGGCAGAGCCGGCGGGGCCCGGCCCTGGGTGGCCGCACGGGGGGGACGTGGAGCCGGACCTCGGCCCCGCGCCCCGGGCTCTGCCCCGCAGCCCCTCCGAGCCCCGACCCCGCTCTGTCCCGGGCCAGGGTTTTTTTTTTCCCGGTCGGGAGGCACAGCCGAGGCCGGGCCCGTCTGGGGACCCTCTTTACCGCCCGGTATAGGGTGGTTCCAGCCGTGTTCTACTCCTGATCACCTTCAAAATTTCCCCTTGGCGAGAGAGGCCCATGAGCGCAGCACCGACGGGAGGGACCAGCAGACCCCCTCTCCTGGCCGCTCCTCCTCCCGGCCCATGGGGTTTAACCCTCGGCTTTGCCGGGGGGGCGGCTCAGCCACCGCCCTGCCCTAGCAGGGTTACCCCCAGGGCACCGCCGCCTCCCCGACGGGGTGGGCCGGCTGGGTCCGGGGGGGCCTGGGGCGAGCAGACGGACCGGCCCCCGGGGACAGCGGCGGCCGTGGAGAATGGAGCTCTCCCCCCTCCCTGGTGGGGGGGTGACCCCTGCCCCGGCCCCACGCCCGGGCTGTCCCAGCCCCGCCGCTCGGGCTTTGTCCCCGCCGGCCGCCCCGTCCCTCCTCCCGCCCTCCCCCGCCCTCCAACCATCCCTCCGCCGACGACTCTGCCTCAACTTTAGAGGCAGGTCCCGGAGGCGCCGGGCAGCGGGAGCGGGACCCGCACCGGCACCGGGACCCGCACCGGCACCGGCACAGGATGGGAGCATCCATCCTCCTTCCCGGGCTGAGCCTCCTCCCGTCCCCGCCAGCCTGGGAAGGATGCAGCGACCCGGAGCAGACGGCGAGCGCGGGCAGCACGGGCCCCGGCGGGGCGAGCAGGTACCCTGTCCCCGCGATCCCTTCCTGGCACCCCTTCTGCGAGTCTCTCGTCCTCCCCACGCCCCACGCTGGGGCTGACCGGGGCAGCCGCTCCGCCGAGTTTCCCTCCGAGCGGTCGCACGGCCGGAACCCCCGGCTTGGGCAGCTTCCCCGCCAGCATCCCCGCCGGTGCCCGGGGACGGTGCCCGGAGCCTCCTGATCGGGGTGCAGAATCCCTGAGGGGACGGGACCTTCCCGGGGGCGTTCAGGGAGGGCAACCCTCCCCCGGGAAATTCACAGCCCGGACCTCCAAGATAAGCGGGGTCCCTGCCGGGTTTGCAGGGCCCGGCTGGCGGGAGAGAATGTGGGAGGAAGGGGAGGAAGAGGAGAAGAGCGCGGGGGAGCGGTGGAAACCCCCGGGGGGGACCCTTTCGGCTGGACCCGTCCCTTCCCCAACTGCTCTCATGACTCAGCAGATCCGTGCCAGTAATTTCCAGTAATTATAAAGTGAGAGTGGGCTCCCGGCTGGGTCCGGGGGCGAATTTAGGGCTTGGCGAGGAGGCAGGTCGCTGGGCCGCAGGGATGGATCCTGGGGGAACATCCTGCCCTTCCGTGACCCCCGGGAGGTTGGGGGCTACGCGGGGCTGAGCCCGCTTTGGGGTGCGGGTCCTTTCGGGGCACGACGTCGAGTCGGGGCTGCCGGGCGGGCACCCGAGGGTTTGGTGTCGCATCCCAAGGCGCCAGAGACCATCCCTGCTCTCCCTCCAAAACCTTTGGGGTCTCTTCATCTCACTGGCAGCGAGGGTACACAGCTCGTGGCCACCCGGGGGGCTCCGGCGCAGGAGCGAAACCCCCCCCGGGCACGAGGCCCGTTGTTGTAGAGAACCTGGGCCGGTTTTTCTCTTTGGTTATCTAGCTGTATGAGTGTATGTGATATCATAAAGCTAGAGAACCGAATGTAAAAACCCGCCTGCCATCCTCGGGGGAGAACGGCCCTGCCCTCCTGGCACGAGGAGGGCCTCGCTGGCCACCGGCCCCGGCTGCCTGGGTGAGGGGAGAGTGGCTGGAAGCCCAAACGCGGCCGTGGAGTGGAGATTTCACGGGGGGGGGGGGGGGTTGTCTTTAATCATTTTTATCGAGGCCCAGAGCTGGTGCCCTGTGCCGGGGTGGTTATTTTGATTCCAACCTGGGGTTCCTCAGGCTACCCACAAACCCAGCACCCTTATTTTATTAATTTTTTCCCCCCCTTTTTTTTTTCCCCCTCGCTGCGGTTTTAATTTCCACGCCGACAATTAGAGCTCCCTCGTGCCGGAGATAAATGAAACGGGGCCAGCTCAGGAATAACCCCCCGAGAAACCCTGTTTATAACCAAGTGGAGGGAAAGTTGCTTAAATATATTACCGCATGCAAATTGTAATTTAGCACCAGACCCGTTCCCAAGGCCGATTTATCTACTGGGGAGGAGAAATAAATCATCGCCGCTCGCCGCTTATTCCGCATCTGCGGGGAGGTTGCAGCTTTGTTCTTGGGAGAGAGGGATTTGGGGGCATTGCTCCGAGGGTGCTCTGCTCTCAGCCACCCCCCCCCAGGTCCCTCCAGGAACCTCCATGCTCCTCCTTCGCTGCCTGTGGATTTGGGAGTCACATCTCTCTCCCTCCTTCCCTCCTGCTCCCCCGGCCCCTCTGGATGCCGGCGGTGCCCGGGGAGAGTCTGCAGAGTCTGCAGGGCTGGAGTGCTGGGTGCAGCCCCGTGGTTGATGCTGGGAGAGAGGAAAGGCTGTGAGTGGTGGCCCCAAAAGGCCGAGCCGTGCCCAGTTATCCCTGGGAAGCTCAGGGAAGGTGTTTTCGGGTGGTGCTTTGGGGTGCAGTGGGATGGGCAGTAAGGGAGGGCACAGAGCAAGGTTGTGGCACTGGGGCACCC